GAGAGAGAGAGAGAGAGAGAGAGAGAGAGAGTCCGATTGAGTTGTGACTGTCCTATGTACTCGGAGTCTGTGTTTTGAGACCCAACGGTTGGCTGGGTGTTGATTCTGTTAAACTTAGTGCTGGGGATTGAAGTATCTACATGGGTTGTGGAATCTGCTATGTGTTCCTCATCATTCAATGATGAAAAGAAGCGCAATCATATTAACCATGAGTAACACAGCATCACGTTATAGTAAGAAGATGAGGGGATGGGAGGAGAGCAGAGACGAAAAACTCCAGACTTCCTTGTTCATCTGCCCTTCTCCTCCAGATGGATCAAGAATGGTAGCATACACATCGCACAGCTTATCTCCTTGTTTTTCTTCTCTCCCCTTCCAATAGCCACGTTGAAATGAAAAGAAGTCTCCACATTAACTCTTCCAGTAAGTGTTTATGATACAAGCACAAATACCTCTCCATTCAACTTCATCTCGCACCCTCGTTGCTCAAGCCTCCCACCTAAAGGTGGCATGGGCCCCAATCTACGCTCCCAATACAACTAGATGTCGGCCAGATCTTCCCTGGACCAGTGGCAATCAATAGAGGAAGAACTGGAGAAGGTACTCCCTCTGCCCTCACCGCCCAAACCGGTGGGATGTTCATCATGCCCTAGTGCATGCAGAACTCACCTCTGCAGCATAGGGCAGCTATTTGTTGCAATGCCACGTCTGGGGGGGCCAACGGCCATGGCCAGGAGCTTCCAGCTCCTCCTCGCAGCGTCCCTCGCATGACAAGTCCACCAACAGGCCAACCAATTCACCTCAGTAGAGAAGAGGTAACTGGGCAGCCTTCCCAATTCTATCTTGGCAACTGGATGTCACCTCAGGCCATGGTACCGGTCCTTCCTCAAGGCCTACCTGGCCACTTCTGGCAGGGAGACAATGGCCTACTCTGTCGGTATACACGAAGTGTTGGATTAAAGCACTGTTCCAGGGCCTACTGGTCCACTCCTAGCATGGACTTGCTGTACAATCCTCATCTATATATTGCTCAAGTTATGCTCTGTCTGACAGAACCTTCTGCTTCTTGCCTGCCGGCTGAAATTTCAGTCGGGCCCTGATGACTTTCAGGGCTTTGCACTTGATAAGCTCAAAGAAAGGCCTTTCCTGGTTTGGTGTTTTGTTTGACATGCTGAGGCTCGGGAATTTGTAGGGTCGGGAAACTGTAGGCTGTCTCACACTAATCCAGGACACTCCCTAATTCTAACTTCAAATCCCTTGCGTGGGGAATTGTGTAGCCTGTCCTTCCCGGTCCTGGACTTCCCATGGCTCGCGCTTTGTTCCTGGATCAATGATATTTCACCGAAAAACGAGCTAAAAGAAAAAGACTCAGAAAAGAAATCAGAAAAACTCAAGTTTGCACAGAGCGGCTTAGCTCAGTTGGTTGAGCACGTAAGTGGTACACAGGAGGTTCGCCACGGCATCCATTTGATTCCCCACTACCCCCTGTGTGGCATACTCCGGGTTCACCGACTGAGAGAGTCGGCTCGTCCTCCTGGCTGGTTGTGGAAGAGGCGTACTTTCCAGCTCGTGCCAGGTGTTAGGAGCTTGGGTGCTGCTCCCCTCACAGAGCAGAGATAGGTAGGAATAGACCCATAACCTTAGGATAGCTTAGGCATAGTTGGTAGATTTAAGGCTGACTCCTGAATTGTGAAATTGTGTGCATAGATAGGCCCTAAGCCTTAGACCCTAGACCCTACGCCTTAGATCCTGGTTCTCCTAGATCTCCCTGGTTCCTTGGTGAGTGGATGGATCCCTGTTTGCCCAGGTAGGTAGTGCGAGGTACAATACTGAGAGAAGATGATAGCAGAGTAAAAAATGCGGCAGTCCCCCACATGAGGAGAAGACAAGCCTGCATTTTTTCAAAAAGAAAAAAAAAGAAAAAGAAACACAAACTCTAAGGGGCCGAGCTCAGTTGGTTGGGCATGTAAGTGGCACACTGGAGGTCGTGGGTTCAATTCCCCACGGCATCCATTGGACTCCCCACAACCCTGTGTGGGATACTTTGGGTACACCAATGGAGAAAGTCAGCTTGTCCCTCCTGGTTGGTCATGGAAATTGGTTTTAACTTTCCGGCCCATGCCAGGAGTTAGGAGCTTGGGCGCTGCTCCCCGCACAGAGCAGAGTTAGGTAGGTATAGACCATACTTGCGGCACACTTCTGCAGTGTGCCATGTGCAAATTGG